CAGAGGGTCCACTTTGTTTGGTAGTATTTTATGGAGCGTGTAGCTATCATTCCTCAGAGCAACACGACAGTTTGGTGTCACCTGGACAGTAAAGAGGAAAATAAGTAATGGAGGCAGGTCTAGGTTTCCAATGGGTTATTGGGGGTGGGGGGATCACAATTCCAGCAGATCTAGGGAAGAATATATTGCCTTCCTCATCTCTGGAAAGCCAGAAACAGCTCACTCACATCATTGATGTCTATGTTTTTATCCACATCAACCACAAACTTGCCTTCTGGGTGAACCTGAAATACAGAGTGGCTGATTAACTCTACTAGAAAAGATTACTTTTTGTATCAACAGCAAACAAGTTCTATAAGTCAGTAAGCAATGCTGTTATTAAGAATGTAGCTGGTCCATAGCTTATACTGCAAAGCAAACGAAACTACTGTGAGGAAAAAAACCCACTATTTTAGATTAGTCTGTTTTGCAAGGCATGTCAAAACTGGATTCACTCAACATTCACTATTAAGCCACATTGGCTGCTCCTGCCCTGAAACACTGTGGCAAACTATGTAAGAGGCTGGAGTGTGAACTGGGTAGCCTTTGACTTAAATATCACAGCTGCTATGATAACCCTAAATGAATTTGGGGTAATCACTGACTTTCAATTTTATTCCCACACCCCACATACAACAGAGATGCTACTGATTTGCCTCACAGAGCTGTTTAAGGATTACAAAGATGCACAGAGGGTTAATTACGTTAATACTCTACATTCAAAGTAGTATACATGCAACTCTTTCCCCCCTCCCCCACAGCAATTTTATCTTAACAACTTGACTGAGTGAAGATTTGAGCCCAAGTCTTTCCAATCCTACATACTTTGTGCCATAAACATTAAAAAATGCTAAACATTATTATCCTCAGACCGTGCTCCTAACCTACTTCAGGTCTACTTCCAACTGAGGGAACAAGTATCTGAGATAGATACGTGCAAGGAATACCATACCTTGACTAGCACCTTTTTTTTGTCCATAGCCCTCACCACTTCACCCACATAAGAACCCTGTTCCTGTAGAAGCTGCAATTCCTCACGAAGCAGGCGTACTAGAATAAGCAAAATATTTAAACAATGAATAAAGCATCAGCATGGGGTGATGTGATAGACGGCAGAAGGTCAAAATGTAAGGTCAATGCAGTATGAAGACAGCTGGTTTGGTACTCAAATTGGGAATGTCTTGAACATCTCTAGTAGATAATTTCCTACTCATCAACTAGGATACTCTCTTCATCTATCCCTGCTTAGAGAAATAACATTTCTATAAACTGAATGTTCATGTATATAAATATTTGAGGACCTCAAAGATAAATAAAATATTTTAATTAAAAAATAAAGTAGTGAAACGTGTTATATAAAACTGTTCTGCTTATTATTTTTAACATTAAAAGTATACATAATTATGTATGAATCCATATGTAGAATTACTAACACCGCTGTACTCTACAGTAATTATCTTAAATTGGTTTTTGCTATTTAGGAGATATAAGATAAAAACAAATGTAGCTACACTTAGGTAAACAAAAATATTATTTGGGCTTAGAAACTATCTCCATATTAGCATTATCAAGAAATTACATAAAACTTATGTATCCCCATGAGCCTATTTCAAGCATTACTTTTCAAGTTTGTTTCCAATTTTGTAATTAAAAAAAAATGTCATTTGTAGCCTAAGAGAATAATTTTATCCATATGTGTCAATAGTACTAAGCCATCATAATTATCTAGATCGTCTTACATCAATCTCGTTCAAAACATCATAGTCAACTCCCAAAACATTTACAGAGTTTTAGTTATTCTGATCTTCATTCCTTGGTCACAAAAGCTACAAAGAACTATTTCCAACTTACCCTTGGCATTAAGTTCATTCCGCTGGGCCTGCAGACGCCTGAGATTCTGACTCTTATCATTGACTATCAACTTTGAGGAAAAGGAGAAAAGCAATATCTCAAGTCAAACCAGGACAGAAATCAATTATTGTTGCTTAAAGGCCACAATAATAAAATAATAAAAAGCCTATTTGCTCTGCTGTAGGCAATGCATAATCTGGAGTAGAAGAGTTTGCAACGCATTTGTACCACTTCAAACTATCAATTAAGAAAATCGAAGGCAGCTGCACTATTTGTATTCTTTTTTATTTAATCCATTCAATCGTGTCCGATTCTCAGAGATTGCCTGGACAAGTCCCTGCAGTTTTGTTGGCAAGGTTTTTCAAAAGTGGTTTGCCATTGCCTCCTTCCTAGGGCTGAGAGAAAGTGACATATTCTAGCCTGTATTTGTGTATTCTAGCCTGTTACAAACTAGATGCAAATACTAATAACTCTTTTAGCTCTCATACTGGTAAAGAGAGCTCATTCCCCAGTGTACTTCATTTTTAGGACCATATACACCATGCCCTAAAGATTCATATCAAAAACATAATAAACTTATGTCAAAAACCTATTTCTTCTATAAGTTATAATACATGCCTTTCTTTATTCATAATTATGAGCCCCAGAACAGAATTTACGTCTTACTGTTTCCTTTTTGAACCATTAATTGAAATGTTATATTTATATATTTATTTATATATCAAATTTGTCACTGTCCATCTCATTAAAAAGCAACTCTGGGCACAGAGAAGATAAAATTAATTAAAATACAATATAAAATGCTACAGAGATAGGTAAGTCATAATGAAGACACAGTTGGAAGTTATCCAGAAATCACATTTCAAATCAACTGCATCCCAAACATTACCAAAGCTTAATCAAATCATAAGAAAATGCCTATCTGCAAAGAAAACATGACTTCTAACTTCTCAGGAAATCAATAACTCTTACCTGCAGCTCCTCAATCTTGGACAGGTAATACTGGCGCAGCCCTGTCCCACCTTTGCCCTCATCCAGGTCCATCTATCAAGGAAAAGCAGAACAGGATAAGACAACTTCTATTTTAAGCTATAACCCTGCATTCAGAGCACAAATAATTCCTAGCACCAGCTTGCAACTGCCATTTTAAACCTCCTCTAGTTCCTAAGCCATCCCTTTCCTTTCTTTAGAAATTATTAAAGTCCAAAACAGAATCTCCACCTCCAGTTCCCCTGAAAAACCTTTTAAGCAATAACCTGAATTAGCAACAACATGAAAATTCAAGGCATTTTTTAATTTTACATTATAATACAGCCATTCTCCCCCCACCAACTCATTACTGTGTATTTGTGTATTATACAAATTATATAAAATGTGTGTATTATATAAATACATACATATAAATAAAACAAGCATTTACACTGCAATTGGTGGCAGAAAAATGCATCAGGGAAATACAGTAGTGCTAGGCCAGGTGTGCAAATGCGTGGCCTACTATCATTCCTTTTGTGATCCCAAGCGCCCCCCACCCGCCCGAGACCAAAAATGCAGATCTTTTTTGCAGTTTGGGGGGAGGCTTATGGCAAAATGCAAAACTCAAACCTACCATAAAACTCCTAAATCCCATTTCCAGAGTTCCCCCCACTCCTTTATGGGCTGAGAATACCCTCGACCCTCCACTCAACTCCTGATGTGGCTTTCGAGCCAATACGCATCCCACGCTAGAGTGTGGTATACAGGGGCATCCACGCGGATAAACCGAGGGACACACCCCTAACGCCCCTCCCCCAGTTATGATCACTGCCCTCCGTGTAACCCCACCACCAACCAACACCGTCCCAGACTGACCCTGCCATCCTCAGCCAGTCCACACCTCCTTCCTATTTATTGCCCTGCCCGGATACAAAGAGAGCCCATTTATTTCCGAGATTACGTCCCTTCATCCTCTGCCCCCTCACAGTACAAAGCATAGCCGTTGCCAACAGCCACTCTCCCCCCACCACAGCTTTCTCCCGCATAAAGCGGCAGCAGCTGCTGCTGATGTGACTCAGCAATCTGAGGGAGTCTCCTACCTGCTCCGGCCCCTCCACCGCCATTTTCCCTTCGCCGGTATCAACGCTGGCCAGAAATGCGCGTGCGCGGAGCGAAGGCAGAAACAGTCCGAAGCACCTCCTTTTCCCGGTTCTTGCCCTTAACAAACTGGGACGCCGGTGCTTCTTCGTTGGAGAAGTTGGTCCCGGAAATAGAGCCTCGTGGGCGTTAAAACACATTCTAATTTCGTTGGCTGCTGGAAGAGAAGTTGGAGGGTTGGGTTAGATTTTTAAGAACGATTGGTGAATGTGGGAAAGAACTGTGAGTCAAATATAGATACCAAAAAGAACAATCTTTATAACACTTGGATCCGGGCGTAATTAAATTTAGACTCATTGAAAACATTGACTTTCTTAGTTTCAATTAGTATGGCTTAATCTGGATTAAACCCTAGCACATTTATTGTGCTGAATACGCAGCTGGTGCCTTCTAATTGTTTCGGATCACAGGTTATGCAGCCATCACAGATAGTGGCCGAGGATGATGGTAGATGTAGTTCGAAGAACCCATCAGATTATGTACATTCTGCCGTCGCTACAATTAAAGTTACCAGCTCTGGACTGTAAATATCCAGGTGACTATCAGGGGACAGCAAAAATTTAAGAGCTTGCTCTATTTCTGTGTTACCATCTAGTGATCGTTAGAGCTTCTTGTAGCTCAGAGTTGGTAGTTTACCCGCTTATTTTGCATGTTGCACTGCCGTGCCTTTTGACCCACATACGACGATACCGTAGGGAGTTGGAAACGTCGTTCTTATGGAACTTCTAAAAAGACATCTCTCAGTTTTCCTTTTAAGAAAAATCTACTGCGTGTTGCAGATGTGCGGAAGCACAAGCCAGACCCGTTGACGGTCTTTTGGTACCAAATCTGGAGGATTCCTAATTTTTTTACATTGCAAAAAAAAAAAAAATCTGGAAGAAGACCAATGCACTTTCGATTTTTTTGCGACCTGGTGCCGAGAGAAACATGATTGGGCATTTTATATATTCACGTATTTCCTTCCTGTTGCTTTGGAAGAGGAAAGGAAAAGGGCTACCGCCACACCCAAGATGGCCGAAAAGCTGTGGACGGACGTCTGGCCGGAAACAAGGAAGAGGAAGAACTAGGAGGTGGGAGAAGGGTCATAGCAGGTTCTGCGCACGTGTGAGTCTCGCGCCGGGGCCTCAGTTTCTGAGTAGAAGTTGTTGCGGCCGCTGATTCTTGGTCAAGATGGGCAAGAAGGGGAAAGTAGGAAAGAGCCGAAGAGACAAGTTTTATCACCTGGCCAAAGAGACAGGTGAGAAAATGGGGGCGTTTAATGCATTTTGTTCTTTCTCGGTTTATTATTCTTCGCATCAACTTTAGAGAGTTTTGTCGCCAGAAGGAGACAAAAATATATTTCTCTGCCCATATAAAGCTATTGTAAATTGTTATTCAAGTGAAAGGAATAGTCACCCTGAGTACTGTCTATTCACTAAATTTAGTGAAGGAGTCAATGAGGTTAAGAGCTTGGGGACCCCTGCTTTAGAGCTAGTCCATTCAATATTACTGCCTAGTATTGATACTGCCTCCCAAATAAATTCATATAAATGCTTTACCTGGTCAACTTTAAGCACTTTTTGGATCATGGTGGTCTGAATCATGGAATTATGATGGATTCTTTCTTTCCTTGGAGTGCTGTCACTGCTCATTTATTAATTTATTTGATTTTTATCCTGCCTTTTATTTAGGAGCTCAAGGCTGCATATGTAGTGCTCCCTCTTCCTTCTTCCCATTTCTTTCCATTCTTTCCATTTCTTTCCATTCTTTCCCCAGCAACAAACCTGTGAGATAGGTTGGGTTGAGAGAGAGAGAGAGGGTGGCCCCAAATTACCCAGTGAACTTCTTTGACTGAGGATAGACTAGAATCTGAGTCTTCCTGCTCATAGTCTGAGCTTAACCACTATACCACTACTGTGGGATCAGTGCTGGGCAGGACCTTTTAATGGGCAAGCATTGACTGTGTTTCTAACATGATGAATTAATTTTGAAATTCTGTTTTGGACTCCTTAAAGCTCACAGCACACAGTGTTCAAATTGCTGGGGTAGAGTTAGAAGCTCATAGGTATTGTTGGAACCATGCCTGATGTTGTTGATCCATCTTCCTTTTCCAGGATTCCGCTCCCGTTCTTCTTTTAAGTTGATCCAGTTGAACCGCAAATTCCAATTCCTCCCAAAGTCACGGGCCCTGCTGGATCTATGTGCTGCTCCTGGAGGATGGTTAGTGTCCAGTTCAAGTGTATGTGGGTATTCTTATAGAGGGTTATAGCACTCCTACTCTTGATGCACATAGACTATACATTATTGATAATACTTTAAACAATCCTCTTATTAATACATTCTCTTTATCCAATGAAGAGTTCAACATATGGTGAAAATTTGGCCATCTGCAGGAACAGATTCTGAATATACCAGGGCAATATTAGTGCAGATTTTTTTTTTCTTAAGTGCTCCAAATGCTTTGGAAGTGGGTCAACAGGATTGAGGCAGGCTTAATGGATAACCCACATGTGTGCTCCCAGTCCATCAGTATGGCAAAATAGCCAGATCATACTCAAATGCATGATCATGATACCTGGGAATAGCAATCTCCTGCTTTCCTCTATCATTCTGAGTAGGAAAAATGAGGGTGAGGGCTGGTCCCTGTTTTGTTGAATCTTTCAAAGCAATGAGAAGTCTCACTGCTTTGAGGAAAAAAAACTATGTTAGTACAGTAGTACCTCAGGTTACGAACACCTCTGTTAACGAACTTTTCGGGTTACGACCAGCTTCGGCCGCAAAAATTTACCTCGCTTTGCGAACTCCGCCTCAGGGTACGAATAGGATACGCGGCCATTTTCCCTCCCGTGACACGGTCCGCAGCCATTTTTCTGCCCCTGACACGTGGTCCGCGGCCATTTTTCTGCCCCTGACACGTGGTCC